CAATAACAAATGCACTGTATGATCAGCATGTCAACAATTAATTAATCTCTAATATAAAAGAGTTCATTCTTTGACTTGTGACATCCGATAGCTTAAATTTAATATATAGCTACAAAAATGAACACCCAATAATCAAAACTATTTTTCTTTAAAATAGAAAAATATTATACTACTCTCTTTCTCCTAATCGTTTCAATCAAAATTATTCAATATTTTCTCCTAAATCTCTCGATTAAATCTACATTAGTTCATTAATTTCGTGTTTCAATGCCAAATTTTCTTCGTTTTAGGGGAAGTTTCATCGATTGTGTTGTTGGGTTGGAAAATTCATTCATTTTATGGATTCTTCATGGAAGCTTTTATCAAAAAAAATTCGTTATGCATATTTGTGATTTGTATCGATCGATTCGTCTTGGGTTTTGTCTGAAAAAAATTAAGGAGCTTGAATATCAATCTGATGGTGCTTGGAGTCGATTTGAGCTGAATTTTAAATTCAAAACTCGAGGTTGAAATTTCATCTTTGTATCTATTCCGTGTATATTTATGTATATTATGGGATATATATGTTTATCTCTTGTATATCATGTATATCCATGAAAATTTGTGTAAAGTACCCAAGTGAAAGAACCAATATACACATATTCATCTAGTTTGAAATTTAAATTTCTCCATTAACTACATATTTCAATGCCAAAAGATGAATTTGCCAATTCAACAATCAATCCAATGATAAGCAAGAACAAAATTACAACATACAAATAACTATGAATATGAATCACCAAAAGCAGGAATGATGTTTATGAATTTTGGTTCAATGTCTATCAATTATGATTTGATGGAAAATGAAAGAACAAATGCACTGCAAGGTTTGAGGACAAAAAAATGACTTCTTGGATTATTATTCAAAAGGTGGATAAATTTGTTATTATGTCTATTGAATGTCACTTCGCTGATATTCAGCTCCTTAAAAGATACTCCTTCTGTCCATAATAAAGTGGACAAGTAATTAGGGATAGAGAGAATACTCTCTTTATTCACTTTTATTTGCCACTTATTTCTAAAATAAATTTTCATTTTTACTTATCGCTTTTGACGTATCAAGAAAAAATAATTACTATCTTTTTTCATGTTGTACCCTTAGCATTAAATATTATTCTCCATATCATTCATCAAGATCCTCTAAACATTAATTAGTAGGAATAGTGTGAGAAAATACCTACATCAATAATTGTTTTCTTAATGAATGTGTCAAGTGAAACAGTAACAAGTAAAATTGAACAAAGGGAGTAATTAAAATGGCGGGTGAGAATAAAGATGAAGTGTATTAGCAAGTAAAAATAACACAATCATAAAAAATCTTAATAGGTGTGTTAAGTCAAATAGTAACACATAAAAATAAACAGAAGGAATAATATGATAAATGCGAAATGATTGAACAGCAAGTCATATGCAATCCTAAAAGGTGTTGACATTTTTATAATAATTAGGGCCTAATCAACATTTTTGAGGAATCTGATTTATTATTTTTCTTCGAGACGATCAAGCCTAAATCATTGAACAAATTTTAGTACAAGCCAATAGAAGTAACTTTAGATCCATCCACAGCTTTAGAGGGTAATATATCATTTTACAAGTTTTCTTACTAATCTGGGGGAGAAGTCAAAATCTACTAATGTCTTCATTGAAGTTGTTTCACTTACATCAAAGTTAGAGGTTTATCTTTGTGTCTCATTTACAAAGAGTTAAAAGAGTATTTTTATTTGATACTTTGATTGCTTCATGGCCTTAACCAAAACTTCAACCAAAAAATGACTTGTCAAAAATACTTAAAAATTTATGATTAAACGCTAGCTCAATTCCTTTACAGAAGTAATTTTTGTATATATATTTACAGTACTGTGATTAATATCAACCGTTACAATGTTATTGAGGCTAAGGTTTATGTCTTCCTATGATATAATTATTTTTTCTAGATATATAAAAATATATCTGTATATAGGTTAGGAACCGTGCCTAGCTCCCCCATTGTATAAATGGATGTTTCGGAGAGAGAAAAACGTAAAATAAACAAACACTTAATAATGTTTTAAATTTCCAAATAATTACTCCATTTGTTTTATTTTTCTTGTCTATTTTAAATTTTGCATGTATTTTTTTATAAGTATTTATATTAATTAATTTGTTGTTGAATCAGTGCTTCAACAAAGAAGTAAAGTTAATTGGATAAAACTCGGAGATCATAATACTAAGTACTTCTTCTCAGTGTTAAAAAGGAAAAAACTAATGCAATGAGTCACTCAATTGAGAGATGAGGAAGGTCACAACTCACAAGAAGCATAATCAGACTCAAATATATTTGAGATTTTTTTATGCTAGCTACTATAAGAATCTGTTGGGATAGGGAGAAGAATAAAGAGGAAAACAAGTAGGAAAATCTTTGAGTAGGACCCTAGACTAAATGAGTCCCAACAAATGCAGCTACGTACTTAGCCAGTTTTATCACATGAGATACTGAAAACATTATGAAGTATAAATATCGATAAGACTTAAGAGTCGTGGCTCATATGGATATGGTGGTGGTTTTTTCAGAGATGTAATAGGAGATGAGGTATGTAGGAGTTCTTTAGGAATAGGAAAATGTTAAAAGTAACTGAATACAACTATGATATCTCTTATCCCTAACAATGATATGCCTGAAAATATCAATAATTAGTTTATGCCAATTTCATGCTCCAATACAAATGCATCTCTAAGATCCTATGTAATATATATGCTTATTGTATTTTGCCTGACCTAGTAAAATCCTAAACAAACTGTGTTTGTCAAAGGCAAATTACTGATTCAAAATGTTTCAGATTGGCATGATTGACTAAGGCACTATAAAAGGAAGACCACTCTAAGATGATTAATGAAAATTGATTTGAGGAAGACTTATGATATGGTGAAATGAGAATTTGTTGGGAAAATGCTAGATTGGTATGGATTTCAACCAAAGTTAGCCATCTTTTGATGGAATGTGTGACAACTACAAGCTTCTCAATAAAGGTGAATAGAGAGAGATGTAGCTTCTTTGAAGGCAAGAGGGGCCTGAGGCAAGGAGTGATCTCATTTCTCCTTTGCTTTATGTCCTGGTTATGAGTATTTCTGACTTAAATGATGAGTACATTGTTTGATTTTCGATTCTCGATGCAAAAGATAAAACAATCAATAAACAAGATTATATGATGTTTCTTAGAGACCATCATGTTAACTACTAAAATCATGGAAAATCTGGCATGTTCATAGTTGGAGTCTCAGAGTCTATAAAGGAAAGACTGTTGAATATTATAAGGTTTGAATCTGGGGAGTTAACTACCTATTAGATATCTTGGGCTACCACTATCTCACAAATAACAGAGTAAAATGGATTATCATCAGCATATAGTCAAGATTACTGAGAAAATTAGAGCAACATAAACTAGGCATCTATCATAATTCATATGAAGGCAGACTTCAGATAATTAATTCTGTTATTTTCTCATGACCGAATTTCTGAAAATCTATTAGTATTATTATTTTTGCTTTTTTAGTGTATAATTAAGGGTATGGAGAAGAAATGTGAAAAATTCTTATGGGGCATCACTGAGGTGAAAAAGAAAGTTCTCTAGTGAAATGGCACGAATTAAGGCATAGGGTGATTCAAACATGTATAAAGAACTATAGATTATGGAATGTAGCAATAAATGATGTGGTGGTTGCATCAAAGGAAAGATCTATTGTTGGTTCAATGGGTATAGAACATATATATGAAAGGGGGTAAGGATATATGGACTCATCAACCACCTTAGGGCAGCACTTGGTACTGAAAACAACTAAATAAAAGTAAGAAAGATATGCAATCATGATATAATCAAGAAAAATACACACTCACAGACACAAACGAATATTTCCATCTCAATGAGCTATAAAGTGTTATTGAGAGGCAGACCTATATTTAGGGGATCCAGCCTGATATGGAGTAAACTCTTGCTACTAAAGCACATATTTTTTCATGGTTAGAGGTGCAGAGGATATTGCTACAAAAGGAAGAATGATAAGGTTGAGACTCAATCGCGATAATCCTATGTGATCAGATAGATACAGGTTGAAAGCAGTACACACTTATTTGCAAGATGTCCAGTAGCATGTGAGGTATGACAACAAATAGCGGATTGACTTGAGGTGAACACTAGAATTAAAGATGTAGGAGACACCATCAAATGGATCAGACAGAAACAATGGAAGAGGTTTAAGAAAGAAATTATGGCAGTGAACTATGGAGCGATGTTGTACAACATTTGAAATGCACAGAACATCAAGATTTTTAGAGGTCATGATATCAATGTCAATTTTTTTTAGTTCAGCAACTACAAATAGTTGTTAAGGAGAGAAATCAACATGTATAGAGGATCAAGAATGGCTAGAAAGTGTAAGGGATATATAGACAAAATTTGTAACTAATTTATTTGTGGTTTGAGGCTTAGGCTAACTAGGAACCCTTCCTAGAAGGTTGTCTAATAACTAAGGGCTCGTTTGGTGTGAGGGATAAGCATAAATAGTTCTGGGATAAAAAAAATTGTGCTGAGATAAAATTTAGATGTCTTGTTTGGTTGGGATAACTTGTCCTACCATTGATAGCGTAGTGATGGGATAAGTTATCCCATATACATGGTGTGATAAGTTATCCCAGGATAACTAACCCCAGGAATCAGGATAGTTAATCCTGGGATAACTAGTTTCTAACCAAACGACCCCTAGGTGTTTCATATGTGTAATTCATTTTGTTGGTATAATAATATTTACATTTTATTGTAAAAAAAAAAACTTTGAAAAAATAAATAAAGATTAAATAATTAATACTAAAGATAAAATATGAAAAAAATTTATTTCTTAATAAAATAAATTTTTATTTTTAAAATAGATATGTAATACTCAACTAGAGGGACTAAAAGTGCAATTAGACATTCCATTCCCTTCTTCTAGGTTTCAACTTTCAACCTGAATCACAGTGCAACCCTAATACAATCCTCCGATCAATCATGCGTCCATCTTATGACTTCTCTTTCAGTCGGGCTAGATCCGGCACGCTTTCCTTCTATGCTCGTCGTCGTCCATGGAGAGAGCTATTGACCCACCCGTCTTCCTATACCCTACCCATTTCCGTCAGCGATTTCGCATCTCGGGTCAAGCGAAATCTCAGCTATTTTCGGGTCAACTATGCGATGATTGTACTGGTTATACTCTTCTTAAGCCTTTTATGGCATCCAATTTCAATGATTGTGTTCTTAATCGTGTCCGTAGCTTGGTTTTTCTTATACTTCCATCGCGACGAACCGTTGATGGTTTTTAATCGTATGATTGATGATAGGATTGTTCTGGTTGTTCTCGGAGTTGTTACGGTGGTGAGCTTGATGCTCACTCATGTTTGGTTGAATGTGTTGGTGTCGATTGTTGTAGGGATTGTGTTGATTTTTTTGCATGCAACTTTTAGAATTACAGAGGATTTGTTTCTGGAAGAGGATGATGCCGCTGATGGTGGATTGCACTCTTTTGTTGGTACCTATGTGTGATTTTGAAGCTATAATACGTACAGATCTGGAAAATAGCAAATACAAAGCTACTGCGCAATCAAATGGAGGAATTGATACACGAATTATTTGGAATGATGATTCGATTTTGTTGTCCAATACTATCTGCTTCTGTAATCTGGTTTATGCTGTTTGACTGAACTCGAATTTATGCATTAATTAGGTTAACTGAGCTTTTCATACCAATCAATAATACCTCAATCCTGAATTGTTTCAATAGGTCGTCTATATTCAAGTTGATTTGTATAAAACATTGTTCAAACGTTCACAATATTGCCACTTTATTGGGGTTTAGCATGTTCGTTCCGCGAAAATCATGTAGGATGGAGTTATGCGCTTGATTAATACTCATATGAGATGAATTTGTAAAACTGGCAAAACCATCGTACAGTAACAACAGGAAGTTTGATTACCTGGAAAAAAGAGGGTGGGGACATCTTTAGAATAGCAGCTAAATGAATCGCTTGAATTACATCTCAGAATGGCAATTATAATACAACAGTACAATTCATCATTCTACAGTCAGATAGAAATGTTCCCCAAATGTACTGTCAAACTGCAGTCTCACAGGTGAAATACTAGTACCTTGGAAAAATAAATTAAATTGTATATATATTAAGATTTTGAGATTTGAAAGACATGAATGAAAAAACATTATCAAGATTCACGTCGTATGAATACAAGGTAGTGTACAACCATACAACACATTGCAGAGAGAGAGTGAACTTGAAAGCATGGTGGCCAGAATGGCCAAACTTGGATTTCAGTATCATCTTCCTCGTTATCTCGTTCCTCATTTCCTGCTGATATGCACCAATTCTAGTCGCAGCAGTTGAAAACAACCTACTAGTCTACAACTCACAATATGATGTCCACTCGAGGCATAATGGTTCGTATAACAATTCCGGTCTACTACTTCAACATATGATTAGCTCTCATGTAGTTAATCAATTATAGAAATGCAGTGATAATAACTTAAGAAGCTGGAACGCCCGGGATCTTTCGAGCATAAGCTAGCGCCATAACAAAATCCTTTGCCGATGAACCAATAATTGCTGGTATTCTTTCGGATGGGGTAGTTTGAAGCCACATATCACCCAAACTGTTCAGTGGCAAACTGGGGGCGATTGCTTGTCCCATACATCTAATCTCAACCTACAAAATAAACTAAAGAGTCAGCACAGCATAAAAGTAGACAAGAAAATCGTTTACTATGTGTTTTCCAATGAAGTTTGCTCCAAGTACTCTCTCTCTCTCTCTGTTTTATCCTTCGATACTAGGATATCTTCCAGGAAGAAAGTGTCCGCCATACTTGTGACATATGGGTGATCTTTCTTGCTAATCGAAAAGGGAAATTTCATTTAACATCAAGCATCACACATTACCATTCCTCATCTTTGCACTTGTGTAAAGTAGAGTGTTACCTGCCCCAAAGTTGAGTTAGTTCATGTGGAAATTTATTAACACGGCCTAGTTCAAAACCAGACTGGATGACCATTGCACCTAATGTCTTTAAAAAGTATAGAAAATCATGTCCGCCAGACTTCAATCTAATATCACCAAAGAAGATATATATTGTTGCATAAAATGCTAATGGTGTTCATTGGTTTATAAATTACTACGAAGCAAGAAAAACACCTCATCTTCGCTCTTAAGATCCAACTTCCGCATCAGGTATTTTTGGATGAAAGAAACTGGAATATTACCATCCCTGCAAAAGACGAATATATGAGAAAATATGCAAGAATACCTGTCTCAAAATGTTAAAGATATTGGTGATTCTACTCCTACAAATGGACTACCTTAATCTTAATTTTGGCAAACAGAAACTTTTCCAACTTGAGCTGCTCTCTCTAGCCTCTAATACTATATTCCCTTTTTGGCTCTAGGTGTCTTCCACTGCCAAACATCGATGGCTTATCCATCCGAATGATTATCTTAGGTTTGCCTACATATTTTTTTCCGTATCTCATCTTCCAAGTTTTATTCGTGTACATTATTTGCTAGTTATACATCCAAAACTACTTGTAAGTCAGATTACTGATGCGAATTTAGGTGCCATCAGGCCCATAATTAATCTTCCCAAAAACTATTTTTTCCATTTCTCATTCTTCTGAACTATTTAGGAATTTTAATGTTAGATATCAAATTGCAAGGTTCTTTTTGTCCGTGATTCCTTTGTCTTTTTAAAATTCCCAGATCACTTTATCATAAGCACACATCACTTCATGCTTTCATTACTTAGTTCAGATTACTGTTGGTTATAAGCCATTAAAAAAAGGTAGCACTGTGATTTCTGAACTTTGCTGGCCTGAAGATAGGATTCTTGTTTCGTATATAATAAGTATTTCAAATTGGAAAGTATAATGTCCTCTTTCTTATTAAATTATCTCGTTTGCTGAGGCCTTATAAGGTCACAAGATATAGACCAAATTGCAACAGAGGAAAGAAATGTAATGAACACTTCATACTCAGTCCTATCTAGCTTCCATCTATTTCAAACTTCACGTGAAGAGGAGATCATTTTCAGTTCAAGATCGAGCACCTTAGTTTAATTTATGAAAGCATATTTCGATGCAGGGCATGCTAACCGTATCACTAGAGATATAGTTTTCTATTTGAGCAAACATGGATGTTAACGTATAAATGTATACTTCTAAATGAAGTAGGCACACACTTATGGTATCAGAGAAGGCAAATTTTCAAAATTCAAGTCTCACATCCACCAATTATCAAAGAAGAAGTTTCATGTGTTTGGGATAAGAAAAAAGAGTCAAACCCGCACATGAAGGGATGTTTTCCAGACCTAATATAAATAAACAAATGTATCTTCTCTAGCCGCTTAAACTTTTAGATGAAGTGGTCACACAATTTAATTAATACTAGAATTATATATCCAAAGGGTGGAAATAAATGAAAATAAGAAGTACAAAAATCTATATGGCAGGTGCGGAAGCAAACAATCACTCTGAACATTGGACGAACTTCTAGGCAGTAGAAACATGCTGCAACAGTAAATCAGTAGCAGCACTGATGTGGAAGAAACCAGAGAATTTTGAGGGTTGAGGAGCATCATAGACTAAAAGGCTGCTGCAGTAGCTGGGAAATACGTAAGATGGAAAACAAGTATAATTATGAATATAGTAATGTTAGATCATTTATTCAGAATTTTGTTCTTCAGATCAGATAAGAAAAACTGGGTCTGGATTCGACTGCAAGAGTAGAAAGGCTACGAGAAGTTGCTTCTTCTGGTGGCCACGTGTCTGAGATGCTCAGAGAGCTAATAATGGAGAATACCTCTTCTAAAATAGAGCAAAGTCAGATTATTTGAAAAGCATCGACTGAGCAAAGATTTTTAAAACATGTGAGTGACATGAAGGACAAAGTCTGTACCATGAGTGATTTACCAGAAAGCTATCCCAACATAGTTAACCCATATCTTACCCGTAAATAACTTGTGAGACCCATTTTACACAGTTCAAAAATGGCCTGAACTCAAATTTTATCCATTTTAATTAATACTGACCCAACCCGCTTAACTATGGGTGGGTTATTGAAATATGGGTCCATTTTGCTAGCACTCGCTATATACTACCCAAGGTGAAGCAGCATTATCATTGTGAACCAAGTAACTAGCTTATGCTTTACACTAACATTACAAGACAGGTCACTCATAAGTTGCTACAATTCCTACAGGATACTGGCCTATCAAAATAATTCCCATTCGCCATGTCCTGAAGGGGGAGAACAAATCCTCAATACATTGGTCAGCAGTTTTTTCCTAGTAATCCATCAGGTACCTTATCTCCGTGGTCAGCACCTATTTGTTATGCTCCAAATTTCACTTCCTCCAGAGAAAGAAAACCAAATTATAACTGGGGTGTGCATGACGTCTTGGAAAGAAAGTATGCATCCTGTTGACTAAAATAGATAAAAGGAACAATCAGTGTCTGTACTCCAATCCCTTAGAGGATCTATGACTACTCCAAGTCCAAATGCAAAAGACTTGGTGAGAATCCACTAAATAATGTTCTTAAAAGACACCTTATGTCCCCCTTTGGTTGTTCCATATGTAAATACCTAATTGAAGCCAGTTGCTCTCATGAGTCCTTTTGATATACAAAAGCATAGGTAAACTAGTTAGTACATGAAACTCTTTGCACTTATGATTGTATTCAGTCATTTAGGCGCAGGGGTCATCTTAGTGAATGCCATTTCCAGTTCCTCTCTGCCCACACGGGTTTCTCAGGTTAAGTATAAAGGCCCAAACAGCACCCAACTGAGGTTTACCAGATGGTGCAGTGGGAACTGCCGAATAATGGAAAAGCAGCACTGCAGGAAAGCTTCACCAAACGAATATAGATTAATAGGCAGAGCTAAAGAGAACCTACAGAACTTGCTCGGCAGAACTGTCCTTAGACTAGATTTATGATACCTGAAAAATGTATTTTGCCTTAAGCAAGAAAAAAAAAAAATCTACCCAGAATATCAAACAGTTCTAGAAAGACAACTACAAAGCCTTATCAAACAAAACAAAAGATCAAATGAAGAAGAAAGAACAGAAAAAAAGAATCAAGGACATAAAATACCAAACAAAAGGCATCAACCACATAGAAAAGCATTAACCAAAATAACTAGGAGGAAAAGAGATGTGAGAGCTGTGGCAGATATTGTTTTTGATTTTTAGAATAAAATAACAAAAGCAAGACCAGATTCCTCATTCTTTCTGGAAAAATATTAAATCTCTTCAAGTAAAATTGAATATTGAGAAGAAAAGTTTACATGCCCGATGGCTTTCATTAAATGGGTATGAGTGGTAGGCGCATGTTAAGAGTTCAAGTCATTGTATGAACCAAGTCTGGAATTTGAATGGAGAATCTGTAGAGGAGCAGGCTATTAGCCACCGATTTTGAAGCTAACAACAACGGATTTAATGGTTATCAATATGTGGTTCTTTTATGAAAAATGGCTCTAAAGTGGGGTGATAGATTAACCATGGTTTGTGTTGAAAATCCAATTAACTAATAAAAGTGTGCTCTCTCTAACAGTTTAAGCTTTTAGATGAGATGGTCTCACACTTGAACATGGTATCAGAGCAACCAGGGGTCATGTGATCGAATCTCACCGCCACCCATATCAAAAAGAATTTCCACGTGCTTGGCACATGAAAAAGAATCAGGCCCACACATGAAGGGGCGTGTTGAGAATACAATTAAATAATAAAATAGCTTGACCTCTCTAATAGCTTGACCCATGAAAAAGAATCAGGCCCACACATGAGGAGGCGTATTGAGAATACAATTAAATAATAAAAGTTTTCTCTCTCTAATAGCTTAAGCTTTTAGATGAGATGGTCTCACACTTCAACAAGTTTAGTGGATGATGGGTATAGAGTATCTTTAGTTTTGTTAAAAGCTGAAAGGTGTAAGCATAGAACCATGAACCTTCAATAATAAGTTTTAGTTTCATTTCGGAGGGGAAAATTTCACATGGCCAAGCAAAAAACATGACATGTATTTTGATATAGGTCAACCACACGAATACCAAACTTATTGAAGTGGACAGTGGTTGACAGGTACATGCAACATTCAAGGAAAGTACATCTACGGCAAGGTTTTACTTTTTCAGATTACTTTAATAAAAATTTCACTACAAAATAAAGAGAAATGGATAGCGACCTATCTGATTATAATAACCCACTAAACTAACATTTTATGTTAGAATAAAGAAAGTCACACACAAGTCCAGAGCAAATTAGCAACTTCAATTTAGATAATATCTTTCCTGATCATTGCTGGCTGCCCCCTAAATGATGTGTGACTTTACTGATCAGATGTGATCAAATGCACAAAATAAAGGTAATTGAAATCAACTGCCAGGCTTGTTGCCACAGCAAATTGAATGTACTCTCGTTTAGAGCATATCCTACTTTGAAAGTCAGTTTCAGTGATTCTGAAGCAACATTAAGAAGTTACCATTATTAGCTTATATTCTCTATCTTTATGCAATGTGACATCCCCAGAGCCACCAAAAAATAGACAAGTTGCAGAATTTTACCTCAGAAAGGAGAGGAAAAAGATTAAAAAGGTTGTAAGAACCAAAATTCATGTAGCTAAAATATTCTTGGGGCAACCTTTATGAATTATAAGAACTAACAGGCATACTAAGAGCATCATCAGAAAACAATTGTTTCACGGAATAAAACGAACTTACTTTATTCTCAAGTAACTTGCAGAAATCTGTGGCAAGGGTGCATCTCCCTCCCTGAAAATTCATTAGGAGAATTAAAACATGGGAAATTCAATCTTGTTTCTGAAAAAAGTAAAACAGAAAAATTCTATAAGATAAATCAGATGCTCACTGGTCTTCCGAGGCCACCAATGAAAACCATATTGGATAGATTCTCCTTTCACATCTGGCAGTGGTTGCATCCAGTACAGTTTGCGGTGAAATATCAAACTCTCCATAAAATGATGCCTTCTTTTGGCGAATTCTACGCGACTTTTTAGGTTTGTCAAATTCTGGAGGTGCAGGATCACTATTATTGTCATCCTTGATCTTCAATTTCTGTCCATGTTCTTTGACTTTAGTTTTACGGACATGACCCTCACGGTCATGGGAATGCAGACCTTCTGACTTAGCAGTAGAACCATGTGAGGTAAACCTCGAAGATTTGCTCCTGTTTGCTGCTTCCACCAAACAATTTAAAGGTTTCCACAAATCAACTTTGCCTTCCCACTGTTGACTGCCATTTTCAGTTTCTTTATCAGGTGTAGGGTGGTTAGAAGGCTCAGCACTGGAAGAATTCTGCAAAAAAAGAAATTAAAAAAAATTGACATGATTGACTGTAACAATATTACCACAGTTCTGTGCAAAACATTGCAAAGATAAGATCTAATGAAGTCCAAATTTAGGCACCGCACCTAACATCTGAAGAACATGACTTACCAGCCTTATGTTCTGAGTGAACTTGTTCAAAGTCTCAAGTGAGCTAGAGCTATCCAGCTGATCTTCTCCAGAACCTTCTTCTTTCTTGAGAGATTTCTCAATTGAAAAGTTGGAACCCCGTAATGTTTTTCTTGCCACCGATTTTGTTCTTCTTCCTGTTATTCCAGTTTGTGAAGATACTCTTGGAGTGCTGACCACAAGAGACGAGAGTGATCTCTCCTTTCTCCTCACTGGCAATGCTACTGAAGTCACAATTTCAGGTGCATTCACCTTTCGCCTCTTATATGGGAATACCTTTGCTCTCACATCTTGCAGATTATGATCTGGCCTGTTGTAAAATAATTTTAAAAAATACATGCCATTCTCAGGAAAATTTCATCTTCCACTCAACTGTGGAAGTAAATATAATATGCATAAGAGGAAGCTAATTTTGCATATTTACAAGTTTTCCTCCCTATATTTCGAAAATCAGTCTCTTCTTGTTACTTTTTTTGTCTTACTTCGCAGACGGCAGAACCTCCAAACAGTACCCAGAATTAATTGTAATTACTGATCCAATTCCGTAAATTGATCAAAAGGCAAATTTTATGACCAGTTGTGGATCAACATTGTTATATGGGGTGAATATTTGGCCTGAAAGACCTAACATATCCAAAAGAGAAATGATTGCATCCGACAAGTGTAAGGGGTGCAACTAGTAGCACACAGGAAAAAATGAGAGAAGTTCATCTGAAATGGTTTAACCATGTCACTAAGTAAATACACTAATCTGTAGTTGCGTCACTATGATGATTGACAGTACTAAAAGGAGTGAGGCAAACCTAAACCCATCGAGGGAGTTAACTTCAAGACCTCGTGATCAATATGGACATAGCAAGTGCAAAACATGGTGAAAACAAAGGATCCATAGATGAGTGATGACATGACTAGTTGGGATTCAGACTTAGCCGCAGCTAACATTATGTCACGTATCCACCAAAAGACTAAACTTTTTAGTCTGATAAAAGACTTGCATTCAGTGTGGAGACAACTGTCAAATTTAGAGAACTTATACTTTAACGGAACTCCTGATTTTCCTTAAGAGGCGGATTATGTAGTATTGGAGTGAAACTTGCATGAATAGATCTGAACGGATATAGAGGATTCATATTGCAGATCCCGGCTAGTTTCAGATATAACATAATTGATGATTGATTAAACGTGTACTACAGTTACTCTAAGTCTTTAGTCATTCATTGTGATACATTAGAAGCAAACTACCCCATACAGCACTATGAGAATAAGAGAAAACCTGATTGTCTATATCCAGGAACAACAAACCTTGTAAAAAACGGCCCAGGAAAAAACTAAATGTCAACAAAAAGCTAGCAAGCTTGTCTCTTTGAAGATGGAGTGCGTAAAGAAGAAAGGTGAATGAGGCGGAGGAAGAAGTTCCCAACTGTGGTGGACATGTCACATTGCTCTCAAATTAAACATGGAACAATCTTGAGTCAGCTAGTAAGTATGAAGGCAACATTATAGCCAGACATATAACCTCAGGCTATATAAACGTACAGAAACTAATATGTCAACTGAGTACTGAAGCAATCTTTTGCATTTACGGAAAAAGGAAAAGAACAAGAGCTAGAAGATAATATGACCTCAGTTTCTCTAAAGGAACACAGCCTAAGTCAATATTGCAAATTGGACAGTGTTCAGTTTCTTCATTGGACAGCTTCTTGTAGATGCATTTCCTGCAAACTGAGTAAAGTTCCAGAAGGAACAGTGTCACAACAGTAGTCATATTTTTTGGCAGAAACAGTTACTAGCTTTGATAATACCCGAACCAAAATGCAAAAACACTAAGCTTTTATTTAAAAAGGAAAGAAAAGAAAGTAAGCAAACTTCAACTCATTCATCCAACAAGATGCTTCACACAATATACACCAGTGAAAGTTTCTAAAGGAATACTTACATGAACAAAGAAACATCTCATTACAAACAATCACTTCCGCACAAAACACAGGCATAAAGCAACAACCATAAATTAACACCTACCCTGTGCTCCAATTTGTCAATGAGATCAAATTGCCGCAGCAGTAGGATACAAATAAATCAAGTCAATCAACATCAATAAACAAATATCACTGAAACGAAACCATCCATATATATATATCACAAATTGCCCAATGGGATCGATCAAACAGATATCCCGTTCCCATTTAGCTAAAAAAAAACAAAAATATCCCATGTTCTATTACATTTCCCTTACAATAATTCAAACAATGAGCAAGCAAAAACACCCAGATGGGTAAACAACTCTCTCCAGCTAAGATGATGCAAACAGAGCAAAACCCAGATCGTAAAACCAACTGGAAACAGTTCAATCGGAAAAATCGAAACCAATTCAAAATTCAAACAGGTAACATTGACCCATGAGAAAAGAGAAAAGGAACTCACACGTATGAAGACATTCGGAAATGGTAGTTGCATCTCTGAAGAGCTTATGACAAAGAGGGCATGTCATGCATGCCGCAATCACATCCCTCTTCACCTTCACCAATTGATTCGTCATAATATATTATCCACCTCTCTATTATCAGCTCAATAACACGTAGTGAAGCGGTGCATGCTAGAAACAGCTACATACACACATGGAGTTTTACGTTCATTCATCACTCACTTTCATCTGCATTAAACCCAGAAAACGATAGACAGCAGATTTGGGAGTGTTAAATCTGATGAGATTTGGATGAAATTTGGGTCTGGATTTAGATTTTGAGGGTTAAAGTGAAGTTGTTGAATGATCTCTTATTGCTATGTAGAGTCGAAATCGACGGTGTTTTCGGTTGGGGGTGGGGTGCGTGGGTGGGTGGGTGGGTAGGGGTGAGGAGAATAGCTCATGAACAAAAACCGAATACTTATATTAACTCTAATCATTGAATTTGCTATTGTTAATTCATCTCCCTCCTATTTTAATTTATATATGAAATGTAATATTTTGATGTCGCGTAAATTAAAACGAAAGGATTATATTTTTCTCTTATTAATAATCGGCTAACATTGACCTGTTTGGGGTCAACATGCCTGCTCCAACTGTTGGAATCAGACAACTTTTCGTTCACATGTCTGCTTCAACTGCTGAAATCAGGCAACTCTTTGTTGACATGCCTGCTCCATGAACTCTTCGTTGACATGATGCCTACTTCAAATGTTGGAAGCATGTAGCTTTTCGTTGACATGCCTGTTTTAATTGCTGGAATCAGACAACTCTTTGTTGACATGCTTGCTCCAGCAACTCTTCGTTGACATGATGCCTACTTCAAATGTTGGAAGCAGGCAGCTTTTCATTGACATATCTGCTTCTATTCGAGGTCAGCTTTGAAATTTCTATATATTTTTTGAATTTGTCAAATATTTAAAATTACATAAAAAATATTATAAATCACAATAATTAGCAATTTAAAATATTTAAAATTATTGTTTTTTTTAGAATACGATATATATTTTTGAAAATGTCTAAAATGCACTACATGTCACAATAATTAATAACTTAAAAATTCTAAAAACATATAAAAGTTTTGAATGGTTCTCAAAATTCTATCAGTGTCATATAAATTGGGGCAAAGAATGTAACATATATATTATTTGAAATTTACATAAAAGTACTATAAATCACAATAATTAACAATATAAAATATTTAATAGACATATAAAAATTTGATCGACTCTCAAAATTTAATATGTGTCACATAAATTCGAACAAAGGAAGTAACATATATTATTTAAAAATAACGTAAAATATACGATAAATCACAATAACTAATAACTTGAAAAATTAAAAGACATAGAAAAAATCTACGGTACCAAATAAATTAGGACAGAAAGAGCAACATATATTATCAAAAATTACATAAAAATACTAAATCACAATAATTGACAACTTTAAATATTTAAGAAAAAACATATTAAAAAATTAATCAACTCTTCAAAAATTATTTACGTCACATAAGTTGAAATAATAATAAATAAATTAATATATATTAGATTTGTACTAACACGGGCTCTTATGACTAGTGTTATTATAAGAGGGCTAAGCGGGAAAATGCGGTGTGGAGAACGGGTAGGAAGGAGTGGGCTGATTAATATTCGTTTTGTGTTTCGTATGCGTGACGGCGGAGTTGCAGAAGGGCCAGACAGAGGGTAGTTTAGAGATTAATTGCACCTCACAGCGCACGTTAGCCAATTCGTGCTGCACGGAAAACGTTTTTTTTTTTTATAATTTATCTAAATCTCAAAGTGTTGAGAGTTAATTACATTATTTCGCTATTATTTTTTAAATTACAAAAATTTCTTAAAATTTATGTATCATTGGACTTCCAGATACATTAGACATCCGTATACATAGATAAGAGATGTATCAGAGAGGGGATAGGACATCCGGATACATCACTGGACTTCCGGATACATAAGTGAGGGATGTATCCGAGAGGGAGATAAGGATGTATCAGCAAGAGGAGAGTATGTCTTCAAGAGGGAATTTTTGAAAAAATTTTAAATGATAGAGAATTTTAAAAACTACGGTAAAATAAGATGTTTATTTAGGTAATTTTTCGTTTTTTGTTTGCTAAATTCTATTTTATGCACCGTGTATTTATGTTGCATTTAAATTTTTAGTACTTAGTATGATTAGGTGATATAGAGAGTTTTCAATTTAATTAACAGTAACTCTTACTCATAAACATTACTCCCTACATTTCAAATTAATAAAATTGTTGAGGTGTTTCACACCCTTTAAGAAAAGAAGTTTAAGACATAAATTAGGTATAACTTTCCATTTTTACCCTTATTAATTATTGTCAAATTTATGATTAAAATAACTAAATATTAATTAATAACTTATTCCAATACTAACTAATGAATGTAAAATTGGAAGAACATTCTAAAAATAGTATATCATCTCTCTTCTTTTAAAAGTTTAGTACTATTATTGTTGGCATGAAAGGAGTTCATCTTGAATTGTCAGTACCGTGATTGGAGGCGCCTTCCTTACCTGTTCTAATGACATAGGGGATGAGTTTTTTCTTAAGTGATTAACCGATAATCTGATAGTAAATTGATAAATATATTATACCTTTTTATATAAAAAGTTTTTCACTTAAGATTTAGTTTCATACTATTACTTCTCAGTGTCTCAAACTCTTAGTTATCTATTAGATGTCAATGTTTGCTTCTAAGCAAGATGCAAAATGTCAACTCGTGTTCATAGTTACATCATTAATTGGTTTGTCACTTTGTTTTTAAGTGATTTTCATTGAATTAAAAATTCGTGTAACATCTTTAACGCTTAAATCGATAATGGTCAATTCTATAACGATCTAACATATCTATAAACCGATAACCAATAAAACATACCGATAAACCTCAAAATCAAACCCTAATGCGGTGTATTAGCCAGTATCAATATTTACACCAAACCCAAATAATTTAACCTTCAAAATTAAAGTTTAACATGAAAATATATATCATCTAACCATGATTAATTAACAAATATATGTATAAAAGACACATCTCTTACATTTATTGATTTAATATATGCAACTAATGAGTGGTAATAAACTCTGACCATGTGGTGAGATGGATTCATTGATTCTTCATCCTTAATTAAAAAATTTAGATTCAAACCTTGAGAATGGAAAAATCTCTAGTAGAAAATATTTCCCCCTTTAATAAGCCATATACATAATATGAATTTATATCAATCGAGCCAATAAATTTCAAATATAATATGATCATAACCATTTCTTTTAATTATAATAAATACAACTTCAAAACTCAAATAATGATTCACTAAAATTAAACAAGTGGATCATGAGAGTGGGTTCCACTGAGCACGTAGAATTGCCTTGTGATACAGCCCATGCCTTTCCACATTGCTTTACTTTAAGAAGCTTCCTTTTCATGTCAACATTTTCTAACTCACTCTTCGACTTTCTTGTTGCCTTTATTATACTAAATTACTAATGAAATATACTTGCTTCGAGTACTAAAAATTGTGATTTGATTTAAGAATTATAATAATTTATCATAAGAAATGATATATCAAATTTTTATGATAAACTTTTGTAGCTATCATTTTTATCATGAGTCGAAATTTGTTGTAGTAATACTAGTGTTTTTGCCACATTAAGTTATTTTTAACAAAAATGTTTTAACTATAATATGATGCATATAATAGGATGATACAAAGTATGAGATTTGTCATAATTAATTAATGTGTGGAAATTCAACTGTTAGGAGTTAGGGAAGGGCGTTTAAATCTAACATATGTATTAAGTTTATCCAATATAGTACACCACAAACTAATCATAAGATTACTATTAGGTATATATGACTAATTAACGTCATTCAAATGTACTATTGCGTGATATTTTTTCAAATGTCTAACTATCTAGAATGATTAAAAAGTGGAAAATTAGGGTGGGAGGGGGGTGGGAATAGTAAATAGTAGGAAAAAATTAAGAAGTCAAACGTATGATATGTATTTACTATACACCAATACAATTTAAAAGAATTATAATTTGTAGCTATAGTTAGAATTTTATAGCAAATTTCTTTCTCTTCTCTCCCTCACCCCTCTCTCTCTCTTTGTACTCTCTGGCGCGCCTCTCCCCTCTCTCGCCTCTTCCCATCTCTTTTTGCCATACAAATGATAACAATGATACAAATATAAATGGTAACAATTAGTGATACAAATATACAAGGCAACATATGAATACGAATACAAATGGCAACATAAATACACATAGTAACACATAAATACAATATACAAGGCAACATATGAATACAAATACAATTTATTACGAATTATAATAGCGATACGAGTGTATTCGTCGATATACGTGATACAATTGATTTGCATCAATGAATTGAATACAATAGTCTTTGATACATTTGTATTAATTGATACAAATCATTGTATCGATTGTATTTGTGATACAATTATCAGTCATATACACAATTATTGATCATATATACAAATCAATTGTAACTCTCTTTCGTATTTCGCTCGTCTCTCTCATCTCGCTTGCCTCTCTCCCCCCTCCCCCTTTTCCCAATCTCACTTGCCTCTCTCCTCCTTAAAAGTAGCTAAGTTTTTATACAAATCAATTGTATTCGTGATAGAGGCCAACCACTAGTTGTTGCACCTCGAGGCCATGCTGGAGCTTCTACGATTGATCCACCAAATATTCATGATAGATGATCACAATATCGAAAAATGGGATGAGAATCTAACTGATTCGACCTTTTGGTTTGGTTTTGATTTTATACATTTTTAAAATATCCTATAGTTTTATTTGGTATAAATTATCTCATGTAGAAGATAAGATAAATTATTCAAGTTATACCCTTAATTTTAATTCCACAATTATCGTCCTAAAATACCTCAATTATAAACCAAAACGAACCCTCAAGGTACAATATACACAACTCCTTTGGAATGTGGTACTGAAAAAGAGGTAGGACCGACTCAATAATATTGGGGATCTAAAGCGAAACTTAAGAGATGGGCCCTAATAATTAATTGTTTTCATCATATATACTTTTATTTAAAATCTATTTTTTTAGCTATTTTAGATGCGAAGTCATTAGGTACTGTTTTATAATCAATTTATTTTAATGAGTCCTTTTCAAATGATAATATAGATGATTCATTCAATCTCTCTTGAGACATTGTTGATCTTAAAGAATATTTAATCAAATTTTTATTTTGAAAAAAATTCTTTTGGCTGAGGAAACGATTACAGGAAAATATTATTCTATAAGCGATATGTGTATTTGGAAAAGAATCAAGT